CTGCTCAAGTTGACAATATTTTTTGTGCCTTTGCCCTTCACTGTACTCCTGCATAGGGTTTGGCCACATCCACCACAGAACAGTCCACAGATTCTTTTACTGTTTAAAAACTCAACCTTTCAAATACTCAAATTTTATCATGACTTCCTATTTCATAATAAATCAGAACAGATGAGGGTTAAGTAAATCCTCAGTGTTGTCTTAACAGCATGATTAGCTGGGGATTCAGTAGTTCATTAATGTAGTCAGAAACATGAACAGCACCTTCTGCCTGGATTTGACTTTTACAGGTTCATACCACCATAGAAAACGTAAGTTTATATGGAGTTTTGTGGCATTTTGGTTGTTGTTGTGCTGGTGGTTTTTATTTTTTAAAAGTATACTAATTTATGTTTTATTCCATATTTGAACCAACAGCAGTGAGTGCAAGATGAGAACCCTCCCTCTGAACTATGGCTTCATCTTCCTCTTCCACTTGCTCTGCTTTCAAACATCAACTGCATAAAATAATTTCCTCTCCTCATCCCCTCTATGGTAGGTTTACTCCTTCAGTTCACATAAACTGTTTCCAACAACCTCCTGTTGGCAGACACTGTATCTTTCTTTCCAAAATAAGCATAAGGAAATCCGTTAACACTTTTCACACTCTGGTGACATGCCATCTGTTCCTTCACGTATCCAGAACAATGTCAAAAGCACAATACCATCACTAAATTATCCAATCTTTCCTCTCAACTTTCACCACCTGTGCTTGACCTCCCTTCTCTTTCCTCCACTGCAACAGTCCCTGCATATTTTGACATTGCTACTTAAACTGCTATTTCTGCCATATTCTTTCCAGACTATTTCAGAAAATTGTACTGTTTGGTTAACTGAAATTTGTTAATTGCATCCAATGCAACTTTAAACAATTGATCCAAGAGTCAATCAAGTCATCAATCCAGTTACTTCTGAATGCCATTAGTTTTGGATATACCATGCAGATCTCTGTGTGTTAGGCATTCCTCCATTGTTGAAGCTGCTGTCATTCTAGTTCAATGAACTATTTTTACCAGCAGACATTAGCAAGTTGTAATTTCAAAACATCTAGACTACCATAGATCTGTTTTCTCCCCCAACACACTCAAACATGTGTTTATTAAGATTATGAACAGAATACAAAAACATCAGCTAGAAAAAAAAATAAAATCAGCGTATCTTCTACCAAGATTTTAAAAAAAGCTGTATTATATAACTTTGCCATCTATCATAAAGAAACTTAAATTCTCAGTTCAGAGGAAAAACTTGATTTTAGTTAGCAGTTGTGCTTCTAGCTATCATGCATCCAGATTGTGGAAGTCTGGTAACAAATAGCATAATTAATTGTCTATTTTCTTGTACAACAGAAGTTCTGTTAACCCAATTCATCTTAAGAATCACCAAATAAATAATTCATAGGGTTTTAGCTAAATGTGAAAGTTGATGAGGGCTGAAATTAGACGTGAAACTGAAGCATGATACCTATTGCCTTTGATACGTTAACACAGTTGTACGGCGGCTTTGAAGGGATCAAGAAAACAGTCCTGTTTCTGAAGTTAGAGCAAGCCGAGGGAACTGTCATGCCATCTGCACACTTTAAACACTTACTAGTAATGGGACAATTATGCCAAAGATCATTACAGTTTCAAGAGTCTTTTCCATTAGTCATCATCTTAGTCTTTCTAAAAGGTATTGAAAGGTTCAATGTAGGCAGCTGAAGCTGAGGAATTACACTGCATGCAACACTGAGGAAATAGATAAAGAAGTGGATAGCATAGTTCATGCAGCGAAAGAAAAGAGATGCAGGTCTGTGCTGATTGCCTTGACCACAGACAGAAGCTGACACTGACCTGGGGGCAGCTGAAGTCAAGGAATTATTTCCACTTCTGCTACATGAAGGAAAGGCATCATGATTCTCATCTTTAATTTTAACTCTCTTTCTTTGTTTTTCAGGTTCATCTACTTTTTCCATTGCTTGAAGAGGTATATTTATTGGTGGTGCTTCAAGAGCATGTTTTTTTTGAGAAGCATCACTTTGCTCCAAGTTCTTGAAAGTCATCAGTGTTTCTTCCTCGCTTGGCAATTGAGTGAGAGCAGCTTCATTTACTGAAGTACTTTTGCTGTCCAAGTATTCACAAGTAGTGTTCACTGGAATCTTCTCCGTCTTCTTCTTCATTTTAGTGCCCTTAAGTAATTCTAAGGATAAAAGGAATATACTTTTTGTACACAAGTGAAGCTGGAGTTAACTTGTCCACCAACATGTCCATAATAAAACTAACAAAGAACATTTCACATAACTAAAGACCTTGGAATAATTCTTAATAGAAAACTTACATCCCTTAAAGAATGTCCTTTCATGCGATCTGTTATGAGCAAGTAAGCATCCCAATAGAGTTTAGCTTGAAAAAGAGACAAAGTCTTTATATCCATCCACTTTGTTTTTTTTACCAGGTCTTTTAATTGGATACTCTGAACTACATGAATATACTCTATTTTATTTCCGTTTTGGAGGCTGTTGAGGTAAGCATCCACAGCTAAGACTTGAAAACTAAATCCTTTGGGTATGGATAGGTACCAAGACCAATTCACCCATTTGGTTCCCCATTCATCCTCCTCGACAGTCTGCAACTCCCCCGTTTCTGCACATACCCCAGTATCAAAACTTAACCCACACTGACTTGCACTACTAAACAGTTTTTCTTCTAAATGCTTTGCACTTACTACAAAGCTCATACCTGCTCTGCCTGCATTCAGAAAGCTGATACTTGTCATCAGAGAGATACTGCTACTGTTTGAGACCTCCTGTGAATTTGTTCCCATTTACTTCACTGTGGCTATGTAGCTATACTCTACAGCCTCTGAGCACTATAACATGTACTCTCAGAATCACAGAATATTAGGAGTTGGAAGAGACCTCGAAAGATCATCCAGTCCAACCCCTGCCAGAGCAGGAGCACCTAGACTAGGTCACATAGGAAACTATTCCTTAAGTCTTCTGAACTATTGTTAACATATACACTGAAGTAGGGTCCTTGAGCAAGTTAGGGCTTTACTATTTCAGATCAGCAGTTTTTGGAACAAGTTATTACCAAAAAAAGGCAGCCATTTAAACATTAGTTAATATCTGCAACTAACCCAATGTCTTCCTGTCTAATGTCATTCAGCTTATGAAGGTTGAGAAAACCAGATTTATTTATTTCCCACCCCCTTATGGAAAAAGTAGTACTTACCTTCAGGTTCATATTTCATTTTTAGCTCATCCAGCATAACTCGCAAGTTCATGTTCTCACTCTCACAAGCTTGCAAGTGCCGCTCATTCGTAAAGAGTTTCCTTTCAACTTCCAGAACCCTTTGGCTCTCAAACAGAGCTTTCATCCTCTGCAAGGACAGTTCTCTTCTCAAAGTTTCAGTTTCCTTGCTAAGGTGTGAAGAAAATCATACACTCAGACTTGTTTTAATATTTTCTTTAATTAAAGCAGCAGATAAAAGTCAACTAAGCATTCAGCAACTTCACATAAAGTTTGTATTTTATACCTTAGTAGGAAATGAAAGATCTCTTGGTATGATGACAGTTTTCACTTGAACTTGACAGAGAACAGCGAGTTTAGTTACCAGAGACAAAATGCTTGTTGAAAACAAAGCTGTATGCTGAATAACACACATGTGTATATGTAACTGGTTTGAGAAACTTTCCCTAACCTACAAATTCACTAATTCATCAGAGGTTTCTTAGCCTGTATATAAACTAATGTAACCACTTCTTTGTGTTAGCTTGTCAGTTAAAGGTGTTACTGTAAGTGACCAACAACAAAAAGATATGTTAATATCCTGTACATGTCCTTTCCTGTTTCAGATGCCAGTTTCCACATCACAAGCGCTAAGTCGCCATTCCTCAAGTGATCATCATAAGGCACTCGTATCATGCCAGTTTCTCAGAATAGCACCACAGTGAGGTGACTTTCTTATGAATTCCCACAGCAGACCATTGCCCCCTGCTGGAAGTGCAATACGTCCATCTGAGAGCTTAAAAACAGCCTTGAGGCCAAACACTATGGATTTTTTTAATAGATTAATAGATAGGGAATTCACTAGCCAAAGAAGACATCTCCACCAAGTAGTTCAAGAAAACGGTTAAAATGTTATTATCTGGCTCTTTTTAGAAGACAAATACACACACACACCCCCCTACAGATTTTAAGAAGCTTCAAATACTTCTCTTACATGTTAAATTTATTTTTTTAAAGCTGTCAACTATCTTGTATCTAGGAGTATTAACAGCATTTCTAGAAGCAAGCAACAATAATCTAAAATAGTTCTGCCATCTTCTACAACAAGTAAAATGACAAAACAACTCTCAGTCCTGCAATAAGCATTACATGGTTCCACAGCATTAGAAAATGAGACAACAAGCATACACAGCACATAGAGTTAGTGGACTACACACAGACAAACAGTAACAACAAAAAAAGAGATAATAAAAACAAGTAGCTAGAAGATAACCAGACTACAACCATCTTCTAGACCTCGGGCCATTAAGTACGTACTTTAAGTCGTCAAGTTTCATTTGCAGTAAATTTGCATGGTAATCTTCTACAGATTCTCCTCCTTTTGAGCTACCACTAGCTCTGGATTCTTCCATATTCTCATATAAAGTCTGATTAAAAAAAGTAAGTGTCAGGTTATCAAACACTGACCTTTCAGCAGCACATTAGCACAGTCTTTAGATGAAATTGCCTATGCATTTCTCTAGAGAAGTCTCATCATAGGGGTATTTAAACGTACAAGAAAGCTCAGTGGCTCTGAGCACTTCCTCATTTGCTACAAATGTCAAATAACACTGAAACTGACAGTTCTCTTAGCCACTGAAAGAAACAAATAAAAAACAAGTTCTCAACTCCAGAGTGTTCTCAAATAGAAATGCAGAACAGTTATCTTCCTTTTTACTTGAAAACACACAATATTTAGTTAACCCACAGGGAATTTGTTTCAGCCTTTATTTCTAGGCTTTAGCAGCTGGACCCCAACGGTCAGGAATGCAACCCACATTAATCAATAGCCAAAATCTCATAATCAGTTACATCTTCTAGATGAAAAAGTTGGTTCATAGTAAGGATACCATAAATGCAACTAACTCTCTATAAAATACATCATTGTTGTAAGAATTCACTCAAGGACATGATTTTTGTAACTGTGACTAATACATCCTAGTACATTCTGAAGGACCTACAGAGGAACCAGCAGAACACTGGCTGAGCTCAAGATAAGGAAGCTGAGGAAAAGAGTCCAGGAAAGACCATACATGGGAGAAAGACTCAAGAGTCCATGGAAAGAACAGTAAGAGTGCCTCTTCAGAACCACAAGGGACCACCAGAGACCACCAAAGGACCCCTTCGATGCAAGCGCAGTTTGATCCAAGAATGG